GGGGGATTGTGGCGGCATTCATTTCTGTGTTTTGGTCATTCGGGTACATTCGCCTCTCTGATAAGCTTCGAAAAACCGCAAGTGACCCTGCAAAGGTATTGTTCAATTGTCAATCGTGGGAAAGCTAGTGTGTTTATATTGAATTGTATATGCCTTCTTGAAATTGATACATATAGGTAATTATACTTTTTTGTGTACAAATGCTATTTTGACTTTGTGCTTGATGTGCTGATGTTCCCTGGGATGCTGATAGGTTTAATTTCTTACAATGCTTGATTGATGAGATGGAGTGATTACTTGTTAAACCTTGCCTCCTGTAAATCTCTGTTTTTTCTGTGATTGCACGTTTTACCTTGGTTGGCAGAGGCTTTTGAGGTCTACTCTTTTGCCTGTTGAAGTATCAGGGTTTTATTCTATCCCGTTCTCTGGACTAAATGAACTGAAAATATCTTTTGCTAGCTTGGGGCATAGGCTGAAAGTATGAAAACAATTGTTCTGCTCTTCGATGGTAAATTAAAAAGAAAGAGTCAGGCACCCTCAGAGTCTGCCAGTCACCCAGATAAATTGCAATAACAAATACATTTCAGTAAATTAACTGCTTTTGATCTCTTCATCAGCCTTTTTTTTTTTTGTTCTTTATTTTCTTCTGTCATTGTCGTCTCATTATTAAGCATCTGATTGAAGTTAGCTTATATTCCACTTTTCGAAATGCTGTGAAAGATAAATGCCTCCATTCTTTGATGAGACCTTTTACCTTCTACATACGCGTCCACTGCTTCTAATTTGCAGGCTCCTCCTCGTGCTGATGTTATAAGGAGCTTAAAGAATGGCATAGTACTGAACCTGTTGGGTATGGGTGCTTCTGTTCTTGGCATGCAAGCCACGGTGGGACTGCTGGTTGCTAAGGCTCTTACTTCCTCAGCAAATCCGTATTACCAGGGTCTCTCTCCTGGTTACAGTCCCGTTCTTGCCTTGGATGTATTCTTAGTGCAGGTATTCATTATCTCACTTCAGTTTTCATTCTGAAACATTAGGTTACTAATGATTGCTTATGTCAAACCATATAGATATTACACTAAAATAAAAAGCCGGAAATTGTTTACATTTTCATTGCTGTAATGAGCACCAGTACGCTTCAAACTCTCAGATACAGTTACCTTTAAACTCAATATAATCCGTAATTCAGGAAAACTTATATAAGTTTGGCTATGATTTTTAGACAAGAAGCTTTTAAGTGGGACAAGACTGATTTTTCTATCTGTATATTCCTTTCGCAGGCAGCGGCTAACACCATCCTTTCTCATTTCCTGGGACTTGTTTTCTCATTAGAGCTGTTGCGCTCAGTGACATTGCCACCTTCAGAAGGCTTTCCCATCCCTAGGATCGCATAAGTTTTGACTCTATCTTTTTAGCATGGTGTGTCTTGTTAAAAATGCTTTGAAGCCACGATTTTTGAAGTGTTTTCTCTTCTCCATGATATTATACAACGGACTCGGTTCTGTATTATATTCGCAGATTTTGCTGATTTTTTCCAATTGCATTTTTATGTGATTACAAATACTATGGTAATTGTAGCAAGTGCTGCAAGTCTCAACAAACCCATCCATGAAGTAAACAAAAGAATATGGATGGTAAGAAAATTCTACAAGTTGTATCACGCACCAAAAGTTTCTAGGCAAACTCAAATAATGACATATAAAAGATTGCAAACCAAAACAATCCATATGATTAGAATGATGAAATTCTCTCTCTTTCACCCCATACAACACGTAAAGATCAACCACCAAGATCCAATAATCCAATAACTATTGACCAAAAACCTAACAAGATTATAAGCTCCAGAGCCAAAAACAGTGTAACGCTGAAACTCAAATGTAGACACTAATCGGATCCACCCAAATGTTGTCAACCATGCCGTCTGGCTGTCAATATGTATAGCAGCATGCCAACAAAAAGATAACCGAAGTACTACTTCATACGTTGTAAACCATCTTTAAGGCTGTCATCACACTTTTCTGAGCTCCGTGATACCCTGCACCATATATTGATGTGTTTCAGTATATCAGAAGCAATTAGTAAAACCAAACACGGCTAACATCCCAAGAATCTGATGGTTTGAGTG